CTGAACAAGACTCGCAGGTGCCTCCAGCGAGCACGATGCAAGGCCAGGGACATCACCATACTCGATGAACAGGAAAAATACACCTGGTTCACAGACCAAGCTGTCCACGCTGCCTTTCTTACGCAACTTGGAGATTTTACTATAAGCATTTATTTTATTTTGAGGCTTGATCCCAGATAGTGGAAAATATCTGAAAAAGCGTGTGGAACTGAGGCAAGCTGTTCCCTGCCCTGGTATGACCATCAGACAAAGCGAAAGCCAGCTATCAGGGGCGAAAGGCAGCAGCAGATTCGCCAGCGCAGCCGTCAGACCTACTGGCGTGTCCAGCCCAGCACCGCCACAGCTCACGCACGTAGCGGAGTGGCTTCACTCCCATTTTCTACCGAGAAAAACTCACTGGATACAACCGTAACTGCGTCCCTACGACAATGGGCAGACTGGAAGTATCAGCACGCAGCAGCTGATTTCGATGAGGGCGCCCACCTTCCCGCAAGGGGTGTGTGACGGGGCTGCGCTATCACCCGTCGCCAGTTCCCAGCCGCGACTGCTACCGGCTCCTCCGCCCCCTTTGGCAGGAGGAACGCAAAGCAAGACGTGGGGACTCAGGGTCTGCTCTGACGCGGTTCCCAACACAAAACAACCCGTCAGGTGAGCTGTAACATACCCTCTTCCTTCCTCGCAGCTGGGGACTTGCATGCTCTGACAGCTGGCAGAAAAGGGAAAGACAGAGAACAGGTAACTCAGACCCGCGAGCAGAGGTTTGCAATCTAGTTCCCACAGGTATTTTCCACTCCAGCTCAGAGAAAATGGACTGACCGTGATTCTCCTGGGGGAGGAGCAAGTTTAATCGCTGGTGAACAAGGAAGGGAAAGGGGGAAAGCAACAGAACTGATCTGACCTCTTCCCTAGATCGTTTAATCTCTCAGTGCTGTTTTAAGCCTTTGTATGAGCAAACCTGCACCCACGCTCTAGTCAGTGTCTGTGTGGATACTAACTTTGTAATAAAACACGACTTTCCCAATGACCTTACGTCAAACCAAAGCAAACCCGTCACTATCTCAGTGAAACCAGAGCCCGCCCAGATGCGAGCCGCAATAAAACCAGAAGCCAGGTCAGCAAGCAGCGGCTCTGCCACAAAGGCAAGGCCCGAACGCCAAGTTCTTTAATGAAAGAGCAAGCTTATGGGCAAACGGGAAGAGCTCTAACAACAAGAAAAGTAACACGTGAATTTGTTACCTGTGGTTTGGTGAAATCCTTCTCTATACACCACTGAATAAAATACTGTTTTGCAGCTGAAACAATATTTGGATCCTGACTTTTGCAATAAACCCGGATAACCTGCTCTGCAAACGTCATGGGTAAAAGCTTTGAAACCTTTGGAATAAAAAAAGAAATAAGCTTTAGTATTTCTTGGAATTTAGAACCCAATGAACTTCAACTTTTTCATCTGAATACAAATGGAAAGCAGTAAAAAACACCCCGCTCCAATCCACAAGCTTCATCCAAATCACCTGTATGTTTGTCAGACTCCCAGTGCACTCAGGTTAAACCCTGTTCATACGGAAAGGCTGTCAGTATTCCCGACTGTAACAGCACAACACGCACCGCAGACCGTGGGTTCCACGGCCTCGCTACACCTCCTGCAAGAGCTACCATGCAGGGCTGTAACCGCTTCCACCGCCAGCTGTGAAGACGCCTTTCAGAAGCCAGTGGAGGAAAATAAAACACTACCTGCTCTTTGCTGATCTTGACTGCCTGGGAAGGATCGGCCTTGCAATAGAAGAGAACATTATCAATGGGGTTCTGCTCTTTCATTCCATAATCCATATTGATAACCTTGCGGGTGAGACAAAGAAAACGGCGTTTGTTACGTTTGTCTTTAGTTTTCTCACAATAAACACAAAAGGATGCACACTGTACTTCTTTAAAAGGCACTAATCAAACAGAACAGTAGTTAACAAAGGATTACTTAACAGAACAATCTGGTATTTGCACTTTACATCTTTTTCTTCCACCACCTTTCGTTCTGAAGCCGCCAGGTGGATGTTCATATTTACACCAACCAGTTCCCGGTCGCGCCCTGCAACACTCCGGTTCCCAGCACGCTGGTCCTCGCCAGCCTGCGCCCCCCGCCACCCACGGAGGCAGCAGCAGAGCTTGCAGTTTTAAGCATACGGTTTAGACAACGTTATTTACACCTGCTTGGTACAGCAGCAGTTCTGTGGTCAGCAGGGAGGAGCCCGCTTCCCCATGACTTCAATTTGTGGGACAAGGAAAGCAGAGTCAATGACTTTGAAGCTAAGTAAACTACTACAGTTTTACCCAGTCTGAGGTGAATCTTCAGCGCAAGGCAGCTTTGGAAGTGGCTGGTGATGCACTCTATTCGTTAGCTCTCCCAGAATTAACCAAGAGCAGGGATTAAGCTATTCGATCCTTGCAGACCGCTCAAGCTCTGCCCTCTGTCTCCGTCTCCCTCCTTCCCACCGGCGCTGGCTGCAGACTGAGCTGCGGCGCAAGGAGCTTTACGCGAAGACAAAACCCAGGAGTGACTGCCACGCACCAGGCGTGCAATCCTGGAGGCCTGGAAGTCTCCGTGTCTGTCACCCTCCCACCGGGGCCCGTGGTCCACTCGCCTTCGTAACCCGCAGCAGTGACTGCCAACTAAAACTCAGAGGTTTCCCCACCGCTCCTTTTCAGAGCGAGGACAGTCAGGGGGAGCGTGTTTGTCACTGGGAGCAGAGGTCGAGGTCGCCCGCCCCGGCCCCCCCCAGCCACAGCGACCCAGGCATGGCTGCCCTCGGAGCCTCGAGCTGGACAGCTAGCACAGCATTTATGAGACAACCCCCGGGGCTTTGTTTTTTCACTTTGCAAACGCATCGAAACATATCTCCAGTTTTCCCCGTGGTATACGAGGCCCTCTGTGATTGAAAAGTTTTTACTCTGAACCGGCTCTGGGAGATATTTACATCGACTATGAAATCTTCAGCCTTTAGCTCCACATCTGGAGGATCCTTTTCTGGCTTGGAATTAGCAATGCTTTCTGCCAGGCTATTACTCTGAAAAAAAGACAGTCACTCAGATTAGATTTGTGCACTATCAGGTCTAGACCGAGGCAAAAAAACACATGACAGAACGTGTCACTAAACTAAAGCTTTCATTTCTTCATAGCTTGACTGCCTCTTCTTGCAGCAATCTAGTTGCTGGAACCCTTGTATACCTTATCCATAAGTTTTCTACCAATTTTATAGAAACAGAACAAGCTTATATAATTGATAAGACCCAAACACTGCCAGCCCACGGAGGAGGAGTTTTACAGCAGATGAGAGGAGCGGCGTGCGCGAGAGAGAGTGTCTGTCCAGGACGCTAAAGTCTCCACGAAAGCAGAAAATAAGTACCTTCCAGTAATTGTTTTACTAATACAAATGTTTTGCCATTAAGTTCCCCAAAGCTGAATACTAAACATTTTTACGGAACTTTTTTTTGCTTTCAAGCAAGGGCTGCAGGATCTCACCCTCTAATAAAGCTTTTATACCTGTACGCTGAAACACGTAAAAAACCCCACGAGACAGACAAGATCAGTAATGTCACCGATCACTATGAACACAGCAGAAGCAGCACGCTCCTAGGGCAGCTTTGGAGGGGACGGTGACCTACTCCAGAAGCCAAAAGCTGAAACCCACAAGTGGGTTTTGCTCAGTTTTGGACCCGAGAGAATACTCCCTGCTGACAGCCAGGCTAAAGCCAGGCAGAGGAGCACGGTACGATGGGGAGCAGCTGTTCATGGCAATGGCGAAGTTCTCATTCAAAGGCTGTGGCTGGGCAGGAGGGAGAAGGCTGCCTGTCCACCTCTGTCCAGGGCTGCTCCGTTCTGGGGAAGGTGCAAGATTTGATGAAGCAAGACTTCCCGAGAGCAACTGAGACCCATGGGAGAAAAGCTTTGAGTGCAGCACAGAGCATCCAGGAGACAGGCCCGGGGGGAAGGCATTCAACTAGCAGCATTTTGGTTTTTTGCTGTCGATTTGTCCATAGCAAAGACGGGGAGAGTGCAGAGAAGAGCAGGGAATCACACGTATGGCCACGCTGAGGCACACGTGTGGTTTGCTGTGACTTGGGAAGCCAAGCAAAGGTTTAGACTGAGAGCAAACCCAGAGGAAAGAATTGCCAGGAGGCAACTGGCAGGAGGCAACCTGCGCACAAGCTGTTCTGTTCGCAGTCTCTACCAGAATGCATGACGCTAACTTTCTCTTCTTTGTTGTTCTTTGCTTACCTTTTTTTTTTTTTGTTTTTTAAAAGTTACCTCTTCCAGTTTGCATTAACTGGAAACAGCTTTGAATTTAAGAATTCTGTAGCGATTTGGGATGTTTCCCTGGTGCTGGCCAGCTTGAGGGTCACAAAACTGGACCGGGCTCTGGGCAAACTGATCCAGTTGAAGACGTCTCTGCTCACTGCAGGGGGGTTGGACACGGTGACCTCACGGCACTGCGGTCTCTTAAGGAGCAGAACAGAGATGGCTATGTGTTGCCTAGCCGCTGCTCACCTCTAGCAGTTCAGGGAAGCCGAGCCTCCAGCACTCCTGCAACAGGCTCCTGCACCACAGGAGGAAGAACTCTCCCCCAGGGGAGCACCAGAAGCTGTGAAGCACTGGCTGGATATAATTACGGCACCAACAGCTATCCTGTCTCCCTTCAAAACAACACACCAGATACCCTGAGACTCAACGCCTCTGGCTGGATTTCCAAAGTGAGAGTTTTTCTTTTCATTAACCAAGCTTCTAAAACGAACTGCTTAAAGGTGGAACTCATGCAATTCACCCTCCTGCCCATCTCCGTATTTGTGAGGCTATCCGTCCCCAACTCCTCCTCAGAAGGCAGAAACCTGACAATCAATGGGACAACCATTTCATGTTTTCCTTCCTCCTATTTCCTCCTACTTTTTTAATACAGAATCTCTTAATGCTTTTTCTTAGACAAAGAACACAAGCCAACCTTCTCTCCAAACAAAAAGATCAACAGAGCAGTAAGACATCTAGCAGTCCTTCTCTAACCTCATTCCTTAAAAGGGCTGAACTACTTTCATTAAGGTTTCTAGATACAGTCAGCCACTTCTGGAAATTTGGCATGGAAAATATAAAGCACCATGGCTGAAGTTTAGAGATAATTAACTGATGATCTGATAATGTGGTATAGCATCTTACAAAGAAAAGCTGAGCCATCTGAAGCTATGTCAGCTCTAATAGAACATTATTTTGAAATGAGACCACAGCGGTTGAGCTGATGTCTGATGAGTGCTTTGAAAAGCAAACACCGGAAAAAACACATGCGTGCTCATGCTAAGTACAGAATTCAATACCAAGAAATTTGGAAGTTATTATTGTTTGATGTTTGTCCTCAAAGTAAACCACACAATTTACAATTCAAAGCAAATGTGTTCCTTATTATTTTGAAATTTTAATGAACACAAGATGATAGTAACAACCTTTTCAATCACTGGACTATGACAGCTTTCTATGCAATTTTGTATTTTTCACAAAACAGTTTTTTTTCTGAAAATCTTTCTGCAATAATCAGCTTCTGAATTTCCATCTCCTGCCATTCTTCTGGCTGCTTGTAGATAAAACTCTTCCCAGTTTACTATAGTATGTTTCACGGCTCAGCTACATAAAGACAGGAGGAGAACTTTTGACTATTTTTGGAATAGCAGCTAAGCAAAACAAAAAAAACCCCAAAAGAGACAGAGAAAAAGATGGTCAGCAACTTAGAGAACATTTTTACAGGGACAGAATTCAGAATCTTCCACCAATGCACATTACCTTAACAATTTCCCTCATTGTTTCAGGTTGAGTCTCTCCTAAAAACTTGTATAATTCACGTCGTTCTATTTTACGCAAAATTTCTTGTGCCTCCTTCAGTTCTGGACAACTTGAGTGCAGAATTTCCAGGTAGATATTATCTGCCAAAGTTGCATCGATTTCCGTTAAGTATGCCACAATCCAGCGTCACAGCAAATGCATGTACAGGGACAAAGGTTAACGCAACACGAAAGCCTGCTGGCTCAGGAAAGACACGCGCTCTCAGAGAACACAGAATCACAGAATGGTGGGGTTGGCAGGGCCCTCTGTGGAGCACCCAGCCCAACCCCCTGCCCAAGCTGGGTCACCCACAGCAGGCTGCACAGCACCGCGGCCAGGCGGGGCTGGAATATCTCCAGAGAAGGAGACTCCACAGCCTCCCTGGGCAGCCTGGGCCAGGGCTCCGTCACCCTCAGAGGGAAGAAGTCCTTCCTCATGTTCAGAACGATCGAACATACCAAGTCTGACAACTGAGAATTCACTTACAGCATCATCTGGATTATCATCAGATTCGTAACAGCTGTTGGTGGAAAAACTAGCTCAATTCGCACCCTTGCAACAAGTTTTGTTATTTCACTGGAAGTTGCTTCCTCTTCTTACTTAGCCAATCTTGTCCAGCAGAACACCCTAAACGCCAGCACTACCTGGCTCGGGGACAAGGGTGCTCTGTCTTCTCAAAGAACAAAGTACTTCCGTTCAACCTTCCGCACTTCTCCGGCTTTGGATGATAGCATCAAAGTCCCCCCTCTTGCCTCCACATGACAGCGCAGTACGCAGCGTGCTTCCCACCATCAATACGAGCAGCAAGACGCAGGGCTCTTTTGATGTGGCTTCGGAGCAGAAAGGTTATTTTGGGCTGTCCTGAAGAGCCAGCTGCTGTCAGGATGCTGCTCGCCTGCCACAACCAACTCAGCTGCGCTCCGTGTCTATTCGCATTCCCTGGCCAGAAATACCGAGGCAGCTCCGACACGAGCTGCAAGCACAGCTCTGCAACGCCCCGTGGCCGGCTTAGGGAGCTCCCAACACGCTCCAGGAGCAAGCTATGGGCCAAAACACCTTTAACTGAGGGTTATTTTTATGGACAAGGTCGATCAAAGCCAGGAACCTCTCCACGAGAAGGAACAGACTAGGTCTCTTCAGATGGAGAGAAGAGAGAAGGGAGAGGAAAACAAGAAGCCCATGGACACATCTGCTGTGCAAAAGCAGTGGTGACAAGGAAAGGTTTGCTGTGTCATCCTTTACTAAAACTAGGATTTGCTGTCAAATCAGGAGGCAACAAATCAAGAACTCATGGCGGTTCTTCACCCATCATGGAAGAAAGCCAGGGAACTTTCTGCTGCAGAACCTCACAGAGGTTTATCATTTGCAAAGACCCAAGAGGCAACTGGACAGTTTCCCAAAGGCATCACTCACCACGGGCCACTGAAAACAAGCCTACTGTCCTCTCAGAAGCCCTCAGGTCGCAACCACTGGAGGCAGGGAAGGAAGTGCCTTGGTTTAAGAGGACAAAAACATACTTGTCCTTCGTGGCCCACCGTTGCATCCGATGTCGGCATATTCCTCACATCACTCTCCTGGCTGTCCAGCTCTCCTTGTTGAACAGTACAGGGAGCTGCGGCAGACAGAGGCAGGGGACAGCCCTGCCCCTTGCCCCGAGCCGTGCTCCTCACCAGGAACAGCAGGCCAGCAGGCAGTCACCACAGGCTGTGGCCAATGAAGGATTGCCAGCAGAAGGCCTTTAGCATGACACAGGTTAAAGCACACAGGATCCTCTGCAACAGTGCCCTCAGCGTCTGCCACCTTGTCCATGGACCAAAGATAGAAGTCCTTGAGTCTCACTGTTGGCCAGCCAAGGCTTGGTGATAGAAACTCAGGAAAGTTGCCTTGCCACTCAGGAAAGATGCCTTGGGACTCCTCATGAGCTGTAGCTCACAGGTGCTGCAGAGCTGCCAGTACTTGGGAGCACTCTTCAGCAGGGTCTGCAGCACCCTTGTCCCCGCAGCCACCCCACCACAAACCCCTCGGTGCAGCAGGCTCTGCCTTGCCCATACTGGCCTTCACCCCCCACGCTGCACGAAGCTGGTAACGGCACGCCGCAGCACTGAACATCAACCGGAAGAATGCTGGCGTGCCTCACCGCAAAGACCAGCAAGGGCAGACAAAACCAAGATGCAACGGTGGTGGGAAGCCGTGGCACTACATAACAGAGGACACAACACAACTCAAGCCATTTTCTGTCAGTTCCCTAATTTCTCTGTGTTGCCTCTTCACAGCCCTGAGCCAGACTCTGAGAAATGGCAAAACGTCACAAATCTTAGCTCGTTTGCTTCATTCCCTAATCATGCTGGACTTCCCCTGCATGTCTTCAAGCAGGTTGCTGCCCCCTCTACTTACCCTACGAAAACCACTCTCACAATCTATCCAAGCTCCCATAAACTTTCAGCAATAAGCTAAGTTGTTCATATTTTGTTTTCTTCTGTTACATTTGCAAGCAGGGTAGCAATGTCTCAAGCAAATCGAATAAGACCCCATCAGAGCCCTCTGGAACCTGCCTTGGGGTTGGTTTCCCGCTGCAACACACGTACAGTACTTCTCTGCCTGACGTAGCCAGATGTAGTATCGCTCAGAGCTGACTTACACCCCACTTGTCACAAGTGCAACAAACTCAGGGCACAGGCAGGACCTCCTGACAGCATACTTGCAATAATCTGAATTTGAGTGTGTGTGGAACATAAGAAGCTGGTGTTTCTCTCTCTCCCAACATAAAAGTAATTTAAAGTAGAAGGTCTTGCTCCCCCAGCAACACAGGAGAGCAGAGAGATGGGATGGTCCAGGTCTGCCCCACCATCTGTGCACAAAAGCAGTACTGGAGAGCCCTAGTCAGAGGCAAGGGCCCACTGTGCCAACAGCTGTAAAAAGAGCATTTTAGCAGGTACTCATGTTCTTTTACTGTAAAGAAAAATTCTGAGATCTCATACCAGTTAGCTTAGTGTAGGCTTCCATGTCCTCCATTGCTGTAGAAATCTGGTACAGTTTCCCTCCAGAGCCTTCTATTTTAAAAAATTTGTCTGCTTTTTGAAAGGCTTCCGTAATCCTAATTTGAGACAAGATTAAGAGTTAAGGATAGCATCATTTTGAAACAACTTATTGCTCAAGAATCAAAAAAGAAATGCTTTAGTATATTATGAATAAAAGACAACAGATGAACCTGCATCCCAAGCACACGGCCGACCCTGCTGGCACTGCAGTGTGTCCTATCCCCACGCTGTCACTGCGCATTTCAAGTCTTTCCATTTACTGAAAACGGGCTGGGATCAGACCTTAACCTTCTTTCAGTGAACGAGCAACTCCACTTTGTTACGCTCCAGACTACGAGTTTAACATCGCTTAGACGACTGCAGAAGGCTGCAAGACAGCGACACGGTCACTCAGCTGCAACAAGGCTGCCTCACAGACCACCGTGTCCTTTTACAGACTCTCTGCTCTAGGAGTTAACTGAGAGAATACAAAGCGTTGTAAAGGCAAAGCATCACAAACACGTGGTATTTTCAAGTGGGAAAAACTGACGTTCTAAAGATCAAGTCCTTCCAGAGTTCGCTGTACCTCCTGTTGTCATTTCCAGCTTGTACGCTCCTTTGGATGGGCTGCTATCATCAGGGAAGGCCAAGAACTAAAATTCTTGGCTGTTTCACGCCTCACACCTAGGTTCTGTCAAACCTTAGCGTTTTCAGTCTGAGGTTTAGAGAATCACTAAACCAGGAACTGAAGTTTACAAAATCAAAGCAGTCATGAATCACTGTACTGTGTAACCCTCTGCGTTCCTTTCTTCCAAACTCAGCAGATGGTTACTCAGCAGCCAAGAGCCTACTGAAAAAATACTTGGGGATACCAGTATTTCTGCTTTTCAAGAAAAGCAGAAGGAATAATGCTATAGGGTAAATTCTGCAGACACCACCAAGAGAGGTACAAACGCAGGTAGGCAGCTGAGTTGGTCCTGAACAATTGCTGCATGGCATCACACAAACACAAAGTCAGGCCTCAGCTGAGCTAAAGTAAGCATGCTCGTTACTTTACTCTGTTAGTAACCTTGCTCCATCAACCAGGCAATGTGAGCTAAGTGGCCTCTAACTTGCAGATAAAGATTTGACTTCAGCTGTCAGCAGGTAAAACAGCATAAGTGCACCCTGGTACTATGCTTCTTCAGGGCTTGAGTAATTTTCCTCCAATTAAATTTCACAAGGAAGGATGCTGTTGTCCTCCTCTCTTTGTTTGTTTGTTTTTTTTTTCGTTAATCACAGCCTCTAAGCACTAAGCCCTGCCACAAGAACTGGGTTACATAGCCCAGTGGCTTTTGTTCTGTGTCACACCTTATTGACTATCTGAACAGTCCAAACAGATACATGGTTTCAAGGTTTCAAGTATTTAAAAAATAAATGGAATGCAAGAAAAGGAAAGTATAATACTTGCATTATTTCAATGATGTTGCCAATCTTATGCTGGTATGCTCGCCGGTGCAGGCAATTGCGTGTGTGGAACATATCATACAAATTTCCAACTTCCTGAATCAAAAAAAAACCAGTGATCTTTTACTTTTGACATTGTCTTAATTAAAAAACTAAAACAACCAAGGAATCAAATGAGTCATCTCCTTCTGTTTGCAGCATAGAGCAGAACGGTTATTTTTCACAATTTTCAACTTTTGAAGCAGACTCTGGCCGCCGTGGGAGAGCACAGAGGTGGCAGTGACTGCAGACAGCCTGGACAGAGAAGAGGACCTCTTGCTCCTCTGGCAGCCCCTCGACAAAGCCACATTCACCTCTTGCTCGGAAGACGTGGAGCAGGATCGGGCGCAGCTGAGGGTTCTGCAGAGTCTCCCCTGGCAGGACCCGCC